CTGAGGCAGTTTGAGAGTGACTATTTTTTTTTATTACATTTTATTAGTTTCAATGAACACTCACAGGGATTCTGGGCTTTCACTCCTTCATTGCCGCACCATTCTCTCCACCCTCCTCCCCAGTTTGTTCTTCTTCCCCGCCATCCGAATGTCTGTTTTAATTGTCCAATTGCCACAGTGTTCAGAGTTTCTTCTGACATCCATATTGGTCTTTTCTTCCTCTTCTGTCTTTGTAATGACCGTTTATACTCTTCCTGAATGATATCTTTGGCATCCTCCCACAACCCATCTGGTCTTCGCTCATTAGTGTTCAAGGCCTCATCTTAATTGATGGAGAAAATTTGATAAAATCCTACACCCTTCCTAACAAAAACTCTCAGCCAACTAGGAATAGGAAAGATATTTCTCAATATAATTAAAGGTACATATGTTGAATCAACAGTTTTTCTGCACTCAGTGCAGAAAGAATGAGTATGTATCCCTTGAGAACAAAACAATAATTCCAACTATCACCATTCTTATCCAATATTGTACTGGAAATCTTAGTCACAAATAGCCACTGTCTATCTTGTTCATAGGTGTACTGATGATTTAGTGATTGAGAGCTTGACTGTTAGCCAAAAAAGACAGTGGTTCAAACTCAACAACTGCTCCACAGTACAGATTTGTCAGTCTGCTTCCATGAAGATTTACAGTCTTAGAAATCCTACAGTCAGCTCTATTCTGTCCTGTTGGGTCACTACGAGTTAGAATTAACTCACAGCAATTCTGTTGATACGTTTACTTTAAAAATCAAAGTCTCACATTAGTATATTTTACTACAGAACCTTGATCACTTGGAATAATACTAACCATAAGACAAGTTGGGAGATGTTTTATTCAAGCTGGAAATGTGTTTTGTTTTCTTTAATCTCTCTTGAGAAAGAAGGCTTGAACTTTATCAAATGCATATGTAACATTTTACTTTATGCGCTTAAAATCTTCAAAGATAATTTACAAGTTTATTTTTAAAGAACTGCTGTAATAATCTTTCCACAAATGTAATCAATTTGATTCCTATGCATACCATCAGGTGAGATCCATGAGTATAGCCTGCGTTTATGTTTCTTATAAAAGGTATTTGCAATGAATAAATCATTGAATGTGCAGAACACAATCTGTCTTCTACCTCCTTTCCACTTCTCCCTTTAACTCTTCTTTCTCTCTCTCTTATATGCACATACATGTACCACCTCAACCCCCACCTCTTACTCTATGATACTATAAGCTCTGAAACACCCCATACTAATGGCAAGGACTTCCCTTAGTGATCTTCCCTCAGCATAAAGTATACTCCAACCTCCTCAAATAGAAGTATTTATGTTTACTTTAAAAGTACATGTTACACAGCTCTTGCTTTAAATTTTATCACACATTATTGACATGCACATCTCCTTCTTCTATAACTTTTTGGTACTATCCATCAGACTCAGAAGTTGTTCTTGTGTACTGAAGCAATCGGAAATTAACTCTCCTTAGTAGTTAGCACGATGCGTGATAATTGTCTCTTTCTTATATTAGAGTCTCTCTTTTAACAGAGTCTGTGAACTCTATTAGGACCGGTGTATGCTCATTCACTATTAGATTCCATGCTCTAGTGCCCAGCATGTATACAACAAATATATGTTGAATGACAAAAAGAAGAAAGCTAGAATAATTATGTTTCAAGTATTTCTCATACATAAAACTATGTACTACTAAAAATGTCTTGGAAAAATGGTATGTACATGGTAGGCATACTGTAAGAGTTTATGAACCCTCCTTTTCTTGACAGGGGTTGGATGTGCCGTCCCAGTCCCCATGATGTATGGAGGCAAAGGGAGAGGGCTCCTGCCCCCTTGGCATCATGTCTTTGGTGCCAATGGCTTCCTGTCTGCCAGTTCTATTCTCAAGTGCTGAGACAAAGGAGAGTATTTGTTCCAGACTTGGAGGGTTCTTGATGGCCGTCTTTCTTATAGTACTGAACCCACCTGCCACGTTTGGAAGCAGGAGTGGTATCCACTTCCTAAACAACATGCTTCTGGAAACTCTATGAACTTTAAGAAATGATGATAGTTATAGAAAGGCTTCATTCAGCCTTTTGTTGATAAAGTCGCTATGAGTCGTGCTCGACTGCAGGCAATCAACAATAACAACAGATGGGAGGGGCTGAGGGAAATGGAAAGAATTTGGTTTTGAATTCTGTAAATAAACTAGTAGGGGAATAAAAAAAAACATCCAACAACAAAAGTTTAAGAAATGTTTGAGTAAAAAGAATCATATGGCAAGAGTAAGTTTACAAGAGTAAGTAAGACTGTCCCGCAAATGTGAAAAGCAGCAAGTGGACTGAGTGAATTACTACAAAGACCTCTTTTGCCAATGCTCTAACTCTACTATGGATTTGGGATAAAATTGTATGTACACTTACCTGACTTCACTGCTAGTGGCATCTCAAAAAGAAGAAGCACATGTAGAGAGATGGGAAGCAGTTTGATGAACTGGGAAATGTGTCTTACCTGTGGTTCTTCTATTACCTTTAAAAACCATTCGCCTGCATTCAGAGTTGACAGAAAATTCCACTCGAAGGAGTCACTTCTATTGGAGGACAAATTAGGCATCACCTCTTTGATATTAGTTGTTCGTTTCAAATCATGGTCATGCATGAGGAAAGGCACGCTATCGTAACTACAAGTAGAGGGGAAAAGAGGTGAGTGTGGATCAATTGAATGCTGTCGTCTTGACGGAGAGGATCCTGACAAGCACACCAGTTTTCCAAGACTTACTAGAGCTTCCTCCTCCCAAGCAAATCTCAGCAAAGCACCGAGTACCACTCATTTATACTTTGATGCTAGTATTTTCCTGGCCTAGGAATCAGTATTTTATCACGATATAGAATAATCATAGGGAGTTCTAGAAACCTAGTGGGTAAGCAGTCACACTGCAAACATGAAAGTAAGGAGTTCAAAACCATTAGCTGCTCTACAGGAGCAAGATAGGCAGTCTTCTCTGAGAATTTGCTGGAAGGTCAGCTATGAGTTGGTTTTGACTGGATGGTAATGAGGTTTTATTTTAGTTATAATAATCAAGAAAGAATAGATTCTCTAGCCAAGAGATTTCCAACAATAAGTATAGCGGTGGCCTGAGAGTAAAATGAGTTGAAGTAGGAATCTCAAGGAACCACAGCAAGCAGCTATCTACACAACTGCTCTGACTTTTTCTGACTCATTCTCTGTCTTAGCTATCTAGTGCTGAAACAGAGATACCACAAGTGGATAGATCTGGCAAACATAATTCTTTCATAGTTTGTTGCTGATTGCCTTCACGTCGAGCACGACTCATAGTGACCCTATGAACAAAAGGCCTAAAGCCCCTCTACAACTATTGCCCTTTATCAAAGTTCACAGAGTTTCCAGAGACATGTTTAGGAAGTGGAGTATCAAAACCTAAATTCAGGGTGCCAGCTCCAAAGGAAGACTTTCCTTCTCTGTGTTTCCTGGTTATAGGAGTTTCCCAGTACTCGAACCTGGGTCCTATCGATGTGTTCTGCTCCCAGCTCTTCCTTTTTGGTGATACCACCCCTTCTCTGCTTGCTTCTCTGTCCTTTTATTTCTTGTAAGACAGAAACTATACTCCAGGAAAACTTCCTTTATCAGGGCTGTGAACTGATTAAGAGTGTTACTTTCAACCCTAGACCCCTTGGGATTGGTTGTCTGGTCACATCATATCACATCAGGGCAATAAGGATATCATTACATGACTGCCTTTAATTTGTCCTCATTAACATCACAGAAGTTAGAATTTACTGCACATAAAATATGTACGTGACACTGAAAATATCGGCTAGCCAATTCCAAACAGATCAACCCCTGACACCTATCAAAGCGTCTGTCCTGAGTATTTCTAGATTTTTATATCATATGATATCAGTAGACATGGTTTGGGTACTGGTTTTTTGCTATTTATTTTTAGGAATTGGTGTCTACGTTTTAAAATCTCTTTTGTCTTCTATATAGAACTGTTGCAATCAATATCCAAGAGGAAGCATTAAGCATTAAGTTGTTAGGTGCTGCTGACTCTGCTAAGGCATAGCAACCTTATGACTAACAGATTGGAACCTCATCTTATCCTGTGTCATCCTCAGGATCTCTCACATGCTTGAGCTTATGGTTATAATCTCTGTGCCAATTAATCTCATTGATGATCTTCTCTTTTGCTGACTTTCTGCCTTTCCTAGCATGAGGTCTTCTTCCAGGGCCTGAGCCTTCCTGATAAGACGTTCAAAGTATGTGAGATGAAGTTTCATCATCCTTGTGTCTAAGGACCAAGCACCCTTGTTGTACTTCCTCCAAGACAGATTCATTTGTTCTTTTGGCGGGCCACAACAGACCCAAATCTCTGGGACAAAGACAATGAAGTACAGGTTAATTTATAGAAATATATGTACATATAAATAAATAGATGCACATATGAGAAGGAACCAAGCCCAACATCTTAACTCAGTATCTTCAACAATTAGAAAAGCAACAGCAAGTAAACTCCACAGTCTACAGAAGAAATAAAATAGTAAATATTAGAGCTGAAGTAAATGAAGCTGAAAACAACAACAACAAAGGAATAAAAGTAATTAATAAGACTAAAAGTTAGTTCGTTGAAAGGACTTATGAAAGCAATAGCAACTGGTAAGCCTAACAAAGGAGAAGATTATATTTAAACTTCTCAGTGGCTCTACATGAAAAATATGGGTTGTCTCCTCCTTGTTAAGGTTTACAGGGTCAGAAACTCAGTGAAAGGTCACCCTGAAGGGTCAACTATACAGCAGTGAATGAATGAGGAGTGAGTGATGGATAGAGAACTATACTCCAACAGATCTGAAAACCTAGAGAAAATGGGCAACATTTTAGAAATGTACTGCCTATCAAAACTAGAACAAAGTTATAAAATGTCAACATACTTATTACAAAAGAAAAAATTGAACAAGTCATGAAAAATTCTCAAATACAACAACAAAATCCTGGCCCAGACAGCTTCACCAGCAAATTCTACCAAACATTCGACGAAGAGCTAACACAAATTCCACTGAAGCTATTTCAGAAGATAGAAAAATATTGAACACTCCCTGGATTCATTCTGTGAAGCAACTATAACCCTGAAATCAAACCAATGTTAAAGATACCATTAATAGAGAAAATTATTGACAAATATCCCTCATGAACATAGACAAAGAAATTCTCAACAAAATCCCAGCAACAGAATTCAATACCATATTTTTTTTAAAAAATCACACATTATGATCGAGATTCATATCAGGTATGCAAGGGTGGCTCAACATAAGAAAAACATCAGAATAATCCATCATGTAAATACAACAAAGGAAAAGAACCACATCATCATAGTAATCAATGCAGAAATGGCCTTTGACAAACATCAATACCCTTTCTGATAAAAACATTCAACAAAATAATGTAAATAAGAGACTGAAAGAATTTGTTCTGTGAACAGGAATCAGACAGGAGGCAGTTAATAGAACAGAGCAAGGAGACACGACATGGTTCAAAATCAGGAAGGGTGTATGCTAGGGATGTATTCTGTCTCCATACCTTTTCAATCTATATGCAAAACAGATCACCCAGGAGACTGGGCTGTATGAGAAGTAATGTGGTATCAGGATTGGAGGAAAATTCATCAACAACTTGCATTATGCAGATGACACAACCCTGCTTGCTGAAACTGAGGAGGACCTGAAGCACTTGCTCCAGAAGATCCAGGATTGCAGCCTTCAATATGGATTGAAACTCAACATCAAGAAAACAAAGATTCTCACCACTGGGCCAATTGGCTTTATCAGTATGGATGGTGAAGAGATTGAGATTGTCAGCAGCTTTAGTTAGCTTGGCTCCACAATCAACACTCTTGATACCAGCAGCCAGGAAATCAAAAGATGAATTGCATTGGGAAACTCAGCTGTCAGGCATCTCTAGAGAGTACTGAAGAGCAATGACATCAGTCTGGAGACTAAGGTGCGTCTGATCCAGGCTACAATCTTTGCAATTGCTTGCTATGTGTCAGGGAGCTGGACAATGACTAGCGATGATAGAAAGAGTGATGCCTTTGAGCTGCGGTGCTGTAGAACCGTTTTGAATATACCACGGACTGCCAGGAGAACAAACAAGTTCATCCTAGAGAGGGTGAAGCCAGCCTGTTCCTTGGAGGCAAGGATTCTGAGGCTTCATTTGAGATACTTTGGGCATGTTGCAAGGAAGGACCGGTCCTTGGAGAAGGGCATCATGCTTGGAAGGATGGAGGGACGGAGAAAGAAAGAAAGAGAGCATCGACGAGATGGATTGATACAGTGACAGGGGTAATGAGGGGAGGTGTGTTGGAGACAGTAAAGGTGGCACAGGATAGAGCAGGTTTCAGGGCTCTTGTACATGGGATCACTGTGAGTCACAAGCAACTTGATGACACATAACAACCATGACAACCCTATATCACACTCTTCCTCTATTCAACAATGTATTGGAAGTCCGATTCAGAACATTAATTCAAGATATAGAAATAAAAGGTATCCAAATTAGCAAAGAGGAAGTTACATAATCTTGTATAGGAGGGGGAAAAAGAATTTCATTTCCAGCCTTGTTTTTGCCACCAAGACTAATTTCCGACTGCCATTCCTTCTTTATTTCTAACTTTCACATTCCAGTCAACAATTACTATTAATGCATCTTGGTCAATTTCAGACTGTAAGAATTCCTCAGTTTCTTCATCTATGGCTTCAGTTGTTGGTGTGTACATTTGAATAATAGTTGTATCAACAGGTCTTCCTTGTACATGTGTGGATAGTATCTTATCACTCACAGAATTTTGCTTCTGGACAGATCTTTATATAGGTTTGTTTTTTGTTTTTTTTAACTATGAATGCAACACTATCATGCCTCAATTTTTTCATTACCGCCACGGGAGACCATGATTGTCTGATTCAAAGTGGCCAATGCCTGTCCATCTCTGCAACCATTTCTCCTCATTTTTTGGGTGACTTTCAATCTGGATGTAGCTCTAATACTATAGCTACCCATGTTCCTCCATTGTTCACAAGGTTTTTGAAGGTCTGTTTATTTCAGAAGTGGATACTCAATCTTGCCACCTAGTCTGTCTTACTGTGGGAGTGCCACTGAAACCTATCCACTATGGGTGACCCTGTTGGCATTTGAAATACTAGAGGCACAGCTTCCAGTGGCACAGCAAACCCACAAATTACTCTTGGGCAGTAAAATGACAGACAAGTGCTGTACAAAAAAGAGCAAATGATAAGCAATCATATACACACCTAAGCTATAGAATAAGTAGCAGCATGAAAATCACTCCCTCTATGCAACAAACTGACAGATAGATATTATATTTCTAATAGCAAAACACAGAAACAATCAAGCATACAAATATCATGGCACAGTATAGCTCTTTCCAGTTCTGGCTGATGTACTATGGTGGCATGGTGAGATGAGGCCCTGAGTGGATAATAGAAAAATGTCTATTTGTGTTTTATTGTCTATGCAAAGGCATATGACTGTGTTGGATAATAATAAACTATAGCTAGCTAACATTGAGAAGAATGGGAATCCCAGAATACTTAATTATACTTAAATGAAACCTATACCTAGGACCGATGATACCTTTAAGCTGTGGTGTTGAAGATGAGTATTGAATATGTCATGGACTGCTAAGAGAATGAACAGGTTCATCTTAGAGACAGTGAAACCAGGCTGCTCCTTGGAGGCAAGGATTCTGAAGCTTCATCTGATGTACTTTAGACATGTTGCAAGGAGGGACAGTCCTTGGAGAGGGATGTCATGCTTGGGAGGATGGAGGGACAGGAGAGGACCACCCTCGATGAGATGGATTGATTCAGTGACTGAGGTAATGGGGGTAGTTGTGACAGAGACAGTAAGACTATCACAGGATAGAGCAGGGTTTAAGGCTGTTGTACATAGGGTTGCTATCAGTTGCAGGCACATAACAACAACAACAATAACATACCTAGACCAAGAAGCTGTAGTCTGAACAGAGCAGGAGGAACTAGTGTTTAATCCATGTAGTGAAGGTTTAAAATCAAGAAAAGTGTGCACCAGGGATGTATCCTTTCTCCATATGTATTCAATCTGTATGCTGAGTAAATCATTTGAGAAGCTGAACTTTATGAAGAACAATGTGGCATCAGGGTTGAAGGAAGACTTAGCAACAATCTCCTCAACTATTTGTGCTATGTAAATGACACAACCTTGCTTGCTGAAAGTGAGGAAGATTTAAAATACTTGCTGCTGAAGACAACAGCATCTCAACATTAAGAAAAAAACTTCACCACTGGGCCAATAGACAGCATCATGATAGATGGAGAAAAGTTTGACATTGTCAACAATTTTATTTTACTTGTATTCACTATCAACAAAACTCTTGGTAGAGCAGTCAAGAAATCAAAAGATAATATTGCACTGGGGAAAATCTACTGTCAAGGACCTCTCCAAAGTGCTGAAAAGCAATGTTATCAGTTTAAACAATAGGGTGTACCTGATCCAAGTTATAATCTTTTCAATTGCTTCCTATGTCTCTGCAAGCTGGACAATGAATAAGGATGACAGAAAAAAAAAGAACTGATGCTGTTGAATTATGCTCTGGAGAAGAGTATTGCATATCCCATGGACTGTCCAAAGAACAGATATATCTTGGAGAAAGAGCAGTCAGAGAGCACTTATTCAGTTCGGTAAGGATGGCCACATTTCATCTCACATACGTTGGGCTCCTTGTTAAGGGCCTATTCTCTTAGTAGATTAAGATTTGGATGATGATGTAATTGGATGGATGTGCTTTGCCTGTGGGAAGGACATGAATCTGGGGTATTTCAAAGGGTGGAATTCTATTAATTGAATGATGTCTTCCCAAAATAAGTGTGACAATTCTACTTGTGGTTAATAATGTATCATAATAACCATCAATATTACAATCTACTTCAGTGAAACCAATTGATCAGTATACGTAACATTAATGTAAGATAAGGGAGCTCTGCTTGGATAAGGTTTACTCTGTTAAATTGCACTGCTCACCCAAAGTTTTGCCTTTCTGATAGTTCAAATGCACCAGCCGTTACAGGGGAGAAAGATGGGCAGTCTGCTTCCTTCCAATTTACAGCCTCAGAAACTCAATGTGGGGGGGGGGCTATAAACTCATCCCAACTTGACAGACATGAGTAAGAGAATGATAAAAAGAGTGTAGGATGGGAGCTATGGTGGAATTAGTTTATAGAGAATTGCACTGATAACCCAAAGGCCTCAAGTCTCTTGAAGTCTGAATCCCAGTCACTCTAGAGGAGACAGATGGCACATCTCTTTCCAAGTGAATTACAGCCTCAGAAACCCTTTGGAGTGTTTGCTACAAGTCAGAGCCAACTTCAGGGCAATGAGAGTGTATGGGATGGATCCTAAACCATCTGAATTCTGAGTTATCTAAAAAGCAACAAAGACACAGAGACATGCATGCACACATGTTGATGTCATGTGAAGACTGATTTCAAGGCCAGGAGCCATGAACATTTAAGACGATCTACAAAGAAGAAATAGGCATGACTAAGACTCTGATTTGGATTTTTAGCCTCCAGAGTGCGAAGAAAACCCAATTTATTTTGTTCTTCAAAGCTACTCACAGTTGGATGTTACGATTGCACTAGTTAATCAAGATATTTGTTATTTTATTAAATCCTTTTGCTGCACTAATAAACGTGACTATAGTTTTTCTTCTTTAAATCATTAATAAGGCAGATTACATAGAGTTTTCCTCTAATCCTGAATTGCTTTTCCCTCTCATTGTCATCGAGTCTGAATTTATAACTGACAATTCCTTGGTTTTCTGAGACTGTAAATTGTACAAGAGGAGACTGCCAATCTTTCTCCTAGAGACCCGCTGGTGGATTCAAACTGCCAAAGAAGAGTGGCCTTTGGATTAGCAGCACAACTCCCTGCAGACCAGGTCATCAGAGCCCCCTTAGCACGCTGAAATAAAATGCAGTCCTCCTGCATGTGCTGGATCATGCTTCTAATATCTTCATTCATTCTATTTACTAATATTCTCTTTAGGATTTTCATTTAGTTCATGAGGAAATTAGGTCTGTTGGTTGCTAAATATGTCTTTCTTTCGTTTAAATACCAGAGTACGCTGCATAAGCTGAATGGAGAGTATTTTCTCTCATTTTCTAGAAGAGTTAGTGTGGAATTGGTATTATTTCTGTAGCTGCTAAGTATAATAATAAAGGGTTAATAGATTAGATAAAAAACTGTTAATGTTTTGCTTTAGTTTTAGCCACTTTCTAAACTGAAGCACTTGGAAAAAGAGTTTTATTTCCTAAAGACTAAATTTATTTAGAGAACATTAATATTTACTGCAACAATTCACTGATTTGAGACTTCTTTCCTTAGTAAGTATTTACATTCCTGCCAATTTTCCTCTCTGCATTGCTATAGTTGTGCTCTCCAAAATTCTGGTGTGCTAAGGCCATATATACCAAATGCAAAGTCTCCTTACATAGGATTTACTGCCTCTGAAAACCTGCTGGAGGGTCAGCTATGAGTTGATTCCGACTTGAATCACGTAACAACAATATAGCCATGAATATGGATGGTGAAAGGATATAGAGTAGGAGACCATTGGAAATAAAGATGCCAAAAGAGAAGCAGAGGGGTTGACAAGTCACCGCCATCAAATTTGAAGTGACAGCAGTGAAAGAAGAAAGGAAGATAATGTGTCAGGAATTCATTGGTTCAGCATCTTTGGTTCATTCATGTCCATAACCACTAGATATTTCCACCAGTAAACCCATCACTGGGTATTAGAACATCCAACTGTAACTGTAATTCATAATATTCTACATTGAAAAGATGTCATTTTGGGGCAATGGTAAGAATTCTGATCTGAAGTCATCCTGCCTTTATCGTGTACATTATAGCCATATGACCTGAGCATTTCACTTCTTCAGACCCAGGTTCAAACTAGTTTCCTCTATCTGTGAAACAGAATGTTCATTTTGGTTCTCTGCCTCACACAACAGCCATGAATGTAACCCACAAAGCATGTAACTTTTGGTATTCATGTATGTTAGTTCATTGATCTATAAATTGTTATTTCTCAATTAGATGTCTTTGATCAAGTCGATGTCTACGCCAAGAATGACCCTTTCCTTTGTTAGACAAAATATTAGTTTTCCTTCAAGTCCCAACTAAAATATAAACTGTGACTATTTTCTTTTTTAAAAAATAAACCCATCCTACAATAGGAGGCATCGTTTTCCTCCTCTGAGGTTCTGCTTTGTTTTCTTTTTTTATTATTATTAATTTTAATAAAAGTTTACAGAGACTTTGGATTCTCATCCATTCAATGGTCTTATGCTGTGGTTATTTGTAAGTATGCCATGTCCTTATCTTGGTAAGGAACATCTCTTAGATAAGATTAATCTTATTAATTTGCTTTATACCAGTACTCAGAAGAAATGGAACAGCATGTGCCCAGTGAATGTTAGTGAAATAAATTACCAAGGCAAATGTTGGTATATAGTGAATGGTTGATAAATTTGGTGTGTAGGCATATCTAGAGTGTGCATGTAATTTGTGGTGTGTTAAGATGAGTGTTTTCCTTTTATTCAACTTATGCCTATGATTGAGAATGTGGATGAGTGGTACAGATTTATGGTTTTTAAGGGAGATGCAGTTCATATGTGTGGGATATGCATATATACTATATGAACACAAGAGAAACACAGGCCTTTCCCACTCTACAATTTGGGGCAGACCTGTTCTTGTCTATTGGCCTTATCTTCTCCTGCCCCCATCCCAACCCCTGCCGCTACTTTCCTACCTTAGGTGTATATCAGACTCCAGCCCATGGGCCCCTTGTTCAATGGCTTTCTCAAAAGACATCATGGTATTCTCAGGTGCCATCTGTGAGAGAAAAGAGAAATGGAATGAGAGTCGGGTGATCTGGGTTTGAATTCAACCTCAACAATTAATTCCTTATTCTTATCGTCTCCAGCCATTCCCTTTCCTCTCCAGGGGTTCCTATAGTTCTAAGGTCCCTTTCTGCCACCCCATTACCCGACGTGAGCATGTACTCACCCTTATTCTCCATCATCAGACCTACCATGGGGGCACCTCTATGTCCAAAGACGATTGGCTTGGGCCCTAACTTCTCCTTATCCTGGATGCAGGGAGAATGAATCCCCAGCGGCATCACATAGAGAAACAAAAGGATAATAATGAAGGGCAATCCAATCACCATTTGCAGAGCTGAAAAAGTTGGGGAAAGGGAGATGTAAGAAAAAGAAAAAGGGGATTGAAAGCCACCCCACAATACTAACTATCCCAGTCTGAGTAATTACTCAGGCCACAAGTTTCACTGATTCTGTGGGATGATTAATTTACTTCTGTCACCTCCCCAACAATACTTGGTGATTTGCATATGAAAGCACTGTGGTTACAAGAGCATTTATTGGAACAAAAAAAAAACCAAAACAACAAACTGATGGTGGAATACATTGAGAAGGAAGTGAGAAGGAAAGGAAGAAGAGGGAATGTAAAATATCAGCTTCTCAGAAGGAGGTAGAGCCTGGCTCATTCTGAGAAAGCCCTCAATCCTGTAAAGATCAACATAACACATCCTTTTATTTAAGTCAATTCAGTATAATAGAAGGCAAGTAGCTGACAGAAATCCGAGTTTAAAGCCAGGGTCTGATCCTCTCTGTTGACTACCCTGACTGGGTCTTCATATTCTTCTTTAAAATGGAGTTATTTCATCACTAACAACTATGTCACAGAGTTGAATGTTGACTCAAAAACAGATGTTCAATCCTCTCTCTGCTTATAGCATGCTATAAAGTTTGGGGTCACCTCTGTCTTTTACAGAAGTCCTTTACCCCATTTCCCTCTTTTTTTTCCTTTTCACTTTTCTTTTGTGTGGCCTATCTTTCACTAACTATTCCTCTTTCTTATTACCCTAATAAACCTTTTTCACTTATTTTACTAAAAAAAAATTTTAAAAATCAGTGCTCTGGTGAGCTCTGGTGGCCTAGTGGCAAGAAGCTGCACTGCAATCTTGGAGGTACACGGTTCGAATCCACCAGATGCTCTGCTGGAGAAGGAGGAACAATCTCCTCCTGTATCAGTCAGATCTGATTTGACGGTACACACAAAAAATAATGAAATAAAAGAAATAAAAAAAAAATCAGTGCTCAGTGAACATGGCTTTTCTCCCTTCCTCTTTCTCTTCCTCTCTTAACCCCCACAAATGTCTACTACCCTGTTTTCTCTGATCATTATTCAACATTCAATATTTAGACTCCTGAAGATTGTATCTATTTGCACATTTAAGTTACCATTAATTCTTCATTAACCTTCAAATCTAGATCTCCAAATCTAACCTTTCAACCTTGTAAGTATATGACATCTCTTGATTGTTTCTGTCTCATAATACGTCATCATCATCAATTTTCTGTATCTAGCTAAATTTAAGGAATTAAAAAGAAAAGGGTTAGTTATTGACATTTAAAAAATTATATTGGTTTATTTACAAAATTCGAAAACATTGTTTTTCATACCAGATTTCCCCAACTTCCCTCAACTGTTCTTATTCCAGAAATATTTCTTAAAATTCAACCTCCACGCACACATACAGAGAGGGAAAAAAAAATACACATATGTACAATGGCACCACTATCCATTCAGTCTTCTTGCCTATTGTTGGTTGTTGTTGTTGTTAACTACCATTGAGTTGACACTGATTCTCCAGAGCATTTCCGAGGATGCAAATTGCATGGGAGGAGACTGCTCACCTTTCTCCCACAGAGCAGCTGGAGGATTTGAACTGCAAACTTCTGAGTTGGCAATGCAATTCCTTACTGCTAAACCACTAGAGGTCCTATCTCCTCCCCAGTTCAGGAACAAGACAGCACTGGTGGGTTAGGCCACAGGGAGTTGTGCTGAGAACTTAAAGCCTGTGACTCTCTGGCAGTTTGCATCTACCATCGGCTCCAAAGGATAAAGATAGGCAATGTTCTCTACTGTGATTTACAGTCTTGGAAACCCAACAAAGGGTCAGGTACAAGTCAGTTCTGACTCAAAGGCAGTGAGAAACAAATGGCAAACAGAGAGGCTAAAAGAGAAAATCCTACTGGCTCATCAGTTGGGGTGTTGAGAGAAAACTCTATTGTAAAACAAATGTACAGCTGACTCTCTTTTGTTTCCATTAAGGAAACAATTCTGAGAAAACCAGTGACAAGAATAGAAATCTGCTTCTTCTCTAAGTCTCTATGGATGACAGGGCGCTGCTTTTGTAGTGGATAACCAGGGGTCTATTAAAACTAGTAATATTTTCCAAACTAAAATTAAAGGGAGACTAAGGTGCGTTTGAAACAGGCCATGGTCTTCACAATCACTTGTTATACATCAGAGAGTTGGACAATGACTAAGGAGGATAGAAGGAGAAT